ACGATTCGGTAAAACAAGTCTTGCCACAACCAGAAGGGCCCACGACCAAAATACTGGAGGGGATCTTGAACCGAAATGCTTCTCCAAATTCTATTCCATTTGAGAACCCATTCTGCTTTTCGCCAGGAAATGGGATCTTTGGGACATTTTCTCGTGGTTTTTCTGATCCACTGCTTTGACAACTATGTTTCTCGTGACGAATTCTACTGTCTGCACGAGAGAATAGTCTATGAAAATATCGACAATAAAGGGACATGAGTCCTTGCTAGTTTGACTCAAAATAAAATGAATGGAGGCAGTTTAAGCCTTATTTTTATACATGGTTGACGATAGACGTGGTGAGTGTGGTGGAGGTGGTGGTGGTGGTGGTAGTGGTAGTGGTGGTAGTGAATATGGTGGTAGTGGTGGTGGTGGTGGTGTTGGTGAATGTGGAGGTGGTGGTGGAGGTGTGAGGAATTTACTGCTTCAAGGGCGAGATGTTGAAGCCACCGCAGTGTGCCATCGTTTTAGTTCCACCTCACAAAGGATTCACGCTGCCTGCCATGATGGTGATAGTGCAAAAATGGAATCTTTACAAGCACACCAAGTCCAGGGAACACTGTAACAACTATAAACTCTTGAAAGATGTTCTGATCAACCTAAGACGCCGGGGCCTGGGTGAGCCGGAAAAATTAAGATGCCGTCCATTTCTGAAAAACGCTTTGACTCACATCACCGATCTTCAGACTCATGTAAAAGCCAGACAGGAACCCTGGAACATTTTCGAGCTGATGTAACTCCAGGACTTATTGCTGGACAATCAACTATCGATTGTCGAAGTAAAACCGGCCGATCATTCGTGTCATTTTCTCTTTGTGGAACCACCGGCCCTCGACAGCCTTTTCAGGAAGGGCCCCATTTTCACGGGTTAAAAAATCCGTTGATCTTTTTTGAAAAATTGTCTTTTCCACTGCTGTTGTTAGATGACCTTTATTAAAAAAGGCCTTTTCCACTGTTGTTAAGAAAAATAAATTCAGGTTTGAACGTCGTGAGAGTCTCAGCTTTTGATTACCCACTTAGGGTTCTTAGGATTTAGTTGGGTTTAAGCCCTTAGGTTTCAGTTGGGTTTAGTTGGGTTTAAGCACTTAGGGTTCACTTAGAGTTACCCACTTAAGGTTCACCACTTGGTTTAAGCACTTAGGGTGCACGCGCGCCAGCGCACGGGGTCATCTCGTGGTGAGCAAACTGAGATTTATTAGAAAACCGCGGACGCCAGCCTCGGGTTTAGTTGGGTTTAAGCAGTTAGAGTTACTCACTTAGGGTGAACCACTTAGGGTTTAGCCACGCTAGCCTTGGGTTTAGATGGGTTTAAGCACTTAGGGTTATAACCACTTGGGGTTTAGGCACTTAGGGTTATAAAACCACTGGTAGAGCGCGCGAGCTGGATCTGGGACCCGCGCTCTAGAACTTTCCCACGGACCGCGTCAGCCTGTTTAGCCACTTGGGGTTGTAAAACCACTGGGAGAGCGCACGAGCTGCACCTGGGACCCCACTCTGGAACTTTCTTCAGGGGCCACGTCAGCCTGGGCTGACCTGGACACGTTCCACACACAACCCCCCACGGATCACGTCAGCGTTTTAGCACTTTCTTCACCCCCAACAGGCCACGTCAGGTTGGACCGGCCTGGACACGTTCCACCCAACCTCCCCACGTTCTAGCACTTTCCACCCAACCCCCCCAATAGAGGGTCCGTGCCCATACTCCCCCAGGGTTGACGTCAGCGCCATCAATCGGAATTGACGTCACAGATTGCACCACATCGCCTCCCAAAATCGGAAGTGTCGTCACAGCAAGTGGTGCGGTGGGTGATGACGTCATTTTTTCGAACTTTTTTTGGCGGCCATGTTGAAAAGTGGGTGCGGGCGGGCTAATCTGGTACCCCATATACTACTGTTCCCGACACAGTCCGAGTTAGGAAAAATGTGTTTTCAGTCTTCCTTGGTTCATGAATTTCGTTTTGTCGCAGGTGATTGCGAGAGATGGTAGTCGTTTTGTTATTGTTCTGTCTGAAGGGAAAAATATAATCAGCCTTTGTCATCGGTATGTACTGAAAAGGTAGAGCTGGAATTGTACTTTTTAGGATGGCTTATGACGAGTGTGTCATAATAAAACGTTAAAAGCTTGGTAAAAAGTGAATATTTTGTCGCCAAGCAGAATTAGGGGTGGAAATTAAGCGATATCGGCTACTAGCGAGACAGCGCGATAATAGTAACGATAACAGCAAGGGAAATTGTCCTATCCACAAGAGAAATACCAGACAAACTAGTCCGCAACTGGCGAGTGATTCGTGATTTCACAGGTCAATTTCAAAGGCACATGGGTGACTAATGTCAAAGAGATCTAAAAGGAAATTTGAGACAGTTTGCTCTTCACTCGTTCTATCCATTATTTTTAAAATACAGATACCTATATATTCGTCCTTGCGTTTGCCGACTGTTAGTTCAAATTGCGGCGATATACCATTCCTGTCAATGTTTTGGGGCAATTTTCGTGTTACCATATTTCCACCTTCCCCAACCCTACTCTACACCCTCCCCTTTCCCCATAGATGACGAAAATACCTACACAGCCCTCCCTAAGTATTAATTTTTGAT